CACTGACTTTGATCTGAATCCACAGATGCAACGGGAAACAGTGGTGTAAAGTCAGAGCCAGTAACTATGTGTTTGGAAATCCCTGCTATGGGACCTACAAGTACCTGGAGGTGGAATATATTTGTTACGGTGAGTTCAGGCTCTCACTTCACTAAAATCTGTCTACGAACAGGAACAGCTTTAAAAACTTGGTGCAACAAAAACAGCAACTTTATGGATGTTTTCTCTAACTATCTACTTTAACTGAACAAATCTAAATAAAAAGCATTGAGAAGCTTATTTATTCTGTTTTTTAACTTAATTAACAAACCCAGAATATCTGATTGGCAAATTAATTAAATATAAAAAAATAGTTTTTTTAAGATCTAGAAATCTGTCAGATATGCTACATTTTTTTATTTGTATTTATTTTATTTTATTTTATTTTTTTACTTCTTTCTTTGTTTCCTTTCCTACAGAATACTTATTTCATGATTAGAACTGGTGATATTTTTCATCAAGGTGTCTTCAATTTATTCTGCTAAAATATATGATTAATATTTTCATTGTTCTTTTCTTTATGCAGTTGAATGAAACGACCATCAGATCGCCTGTGCTGTGGATGAAATGCATCATAATCAGTAACATCCACAGACACTGTGGTCCACTGATGTACATACAATTTCTCCTCAGTTTCTTTCACTTTCTCAACCATTGTTTTTTTGTTTTTGTTTTTGTTTTTTAGATTTTTTTTAATCTTCATCCGTGTTGCTTTCATGTCATGTTTTCCTGAATAAACTTGACTTGCATCTACATTTTGCTCTATCTGACTTTTTCTGGTTTTGTTCACTACAAACACTCTGATCAGGATAAAAAAAATCTCTCCAAACTATGAAGGCATGCAGTTTAAAAACTGTTTCCAGTATGAACAGGAAGGAACTGGTGGAGGAAGTTGGTTGAATGTCTGTGAGAACACTGCCTACTCTCATCAGACCAAGATGGCTGCCAACCAGACGCGATACCTTTAGGGAGTTTTATTGGAGTCACAGCAATGTTACATCACAAAAAATGGAAAGTCATGAACATGATTATGGTCTTCCAAGTCACCAGTTGAAGACTGGTGTTCATTCAGTTGTTCACTGCCAGATCCTCTCTGCAGCTGAAAGCAGAAACAAAGCAAAATTATGTTGTTGTCTGTTCAGCACAACATGAATGTCATATAAACTCAGTGTTTGTTTCACCTTTGTTGACTTGGACACATGCATCCTCTCTGGCTACAACACTGACAGAAATCTACAGTGTCACAAAGCCTGAAAACATATAAGCTTCCTAAAATTAGACATCTGACGTTGTTTACTACTGTGAAATCAACCACTGCTTATCTCTCATTTGCCTTGGCAAGTCCGACTGAGACACTGGATCCAGGCTTAAAGGAATCCAGGACTAGCTGAACATGTTGGCCTAAATATATTGTTAACTGCCTATTAACTAAAAGAAATGCTGTTTGTGATGCACCAAAACTCATAAATACTTAAAAAATTAAGCAAATTTTTGAAGTGATTCAAAAATTTACATGTTCTGTTATATTTTTGACCCATGGAGGTCGCCGTTTTTTCACCTGCTGGGTTCATGAGGCATAATGGTCCATTATGTACTGAATCTACAGAGTAAACATTGGAAGACTATCTTTACCTGAGTTATCATATTGTGTTTGACTGCTGTAATTTTAGATAATGCCACACTGTGTCACTGTTGGCTGTGGTGAGTCTTGATTGCTTCCCACATGAAAAAAAGAGCGCAGTGGAAAAGAACCGAAGGACCTACTTGTGCATTTTTCTCCAGAAGACTCTGAGTCATTTGTATGAGCAAAACTGACTAAGGTCTCAACAGGTGACTGTTACCTTAACTAGCTAAAAATAACTGTTGTGCTGACAGTTTTATCCACGCCCAAACCCCACTGCCGCCGGCGAGAGACCGAGAAACGCTGGGAGCGTTAGAAGCGCTTTTCAAATGACAACAGCGCTATTGCTGCTGCCGCAGGTATGAACACTAGCAGCTCCTACAGCCAACTCTGTCCTCTTCCTCTGTTTGGTTCTCCTCATCTTCATCACCTCTTGTGATTTCTGCTTTCCTATTGATTTCAATTTGAAGAGGCTTTAAAAACTCATTGCTGTTTTGGCTGGACGGCGCGTCAGTCTATCAGAGACGTGAGGATGGACTGGATAAATTTCTTCGTAATCTCCATGCTCAACACCGACAGCCAGGTCTTCACCAGATCCAGGCTGATCATCACCAACTCACTGGTCACTCGACTGGCCTTGATGACCCCTGGGTTGGCCTGCTGGAGGCTCAAATGTTCCCAAACCATCTTCTACAGCGACTGCATGAAGACTGAGATGAGGCGGACATGCAGCTGGCATTGTCGCTGGAGGCCAGATTCAGGATAATCAGAGCTCAGGTCAGCAAGGAGTGAACGGCCCACTTACAGAGAACACAGATGAGTAAAAGCAGCTCAATCCACCAAGCACTTACATCAAGAGCCACATGCCTCAAATATTTATGCATAAATGAAAAATAGGTTCCAATTAAATGATCTCCTGTAGCAGTCTGTATTACAGCGATTCTGAAGCACCCTCTGACTGAAGACACTCTTTTCCCAAGACATTCTGAATAGTGTCTAAGTCACGCCCCTTCTGCTAGAGGTCACAGGACCTTTAATTTAATTTAATTTAATTTAATTTAATTTAAGTTTATTTGATAGAGACAGACACATGTAGACACAGACAAACAGAACAGAGCAGCAGTCCCATGTTTGCTTCATAGTGTTTACAGCACAAGCTAATTCACAGCTCTTGTTCCTGGATGGGCCTTTTGAACAGTTCATGTAAAAACTATTGGAAAGTGAAATAATAATCATTTAAAATAATAAGATGATGTTGTTTCTGTATTCACAATCACATAGGGTGTTCCCTACTGTGTCATGTCCTTTAACCTTAGCTTTGCACGTGTGTGCGTGTTTGTGTGTGTAGGTGTGTGTGTGTGTACCAGGTTTTTATATCCTTATGGGAACCTATTTCGGTCTACAATGTGGGGTTATGAGGACCATTGCTCCTTGTGGGGACATTTGTTGGTCTCCATGAGGGAAATTGTTGTTCCTGGGTTAGTGGTTAGGTCTGTGATGGTTAGAGTTAGGATTAGGATTAGGGTAAGGGTTAGGCTGTAGAAATTAATGGAAGTCAATGTGAAGTCCCCACAAGTGATGAAAACACAACTCTGTGTGCGTGTGCGTGTGTTTGTAGCGAACAAAGGCAAACTGAGCAAAAGGTAAATGCAAGTCAAGTTTATTGAGGAAAATAGGAATAAAAGCAAAAGGGATGAAGATCTGAGAAGAAAAACAAATAAAATGCTAAGAAAACTGAAGACACTGAAGAGAGATGAAGCTGCACATCAGTGGATCACAACGTCTGTAGATGATTATGATGCATTTCATCCTCACACAGCAGATCTGATGGTGGCTTCAGACAGTTTTAATTGGAACTGAAACCATGAAAATATTAATATCATTTCAGCAGAATGCATTTTAGACATCAGAAAGCAAAATATCACCAGCTCTAAACCTGCAACAAGGCCTCTGGAGAGTCAAGGCTGGTTTTCTGACTTTGGTTAAAAAATAAAATGCATTCTTTCTAAATAAATGCAGAAAGACCCAGGCTAGGATTCAAACCCAGGACCTTGTTGCTGCAAGGCATTAGTGCTACTGACTGTGTTACTGAGCTGGACTGGAACATTAAAGCTGATGAGGGAAAAGTTTTAACCAGACTACAGAGTTTGGACAAAACCTGCTCCACAGGATCGCCATGGCAACCAAACTCCAAGTCCTGA